AATTAAACTAAACCACTAAATTTGACTTAAAAACTACCATTTGTCACTTCTGTTCCAACCTCATGGATGTCATATTAACAGCGTTAGGAAAGCACTAACGAATGACATGTCATAATGCAATCAAAATGCAATTCCAATGTGGATACTTTTAGCACTTCCCGAGAATTGTGAAAACTAAATAACATTATTCCTCCTCCTAGTGATGGCAATTTAGACCCATTCCGATGGGTATTCCATGCTCCGTGGGGCGGGTAAAACCCGACCCGTGGGGTGGATCTTGACTCAACTCGCATACAAATCAGGTCGGACATGGGGGGTGAGTTAGGTTGACTACCCTCTAAGGGGTTGGAAAAATGACACTTCCTATTAATTATAGTTATTTTGGGTATTAAATTTTGGTTGCATTTAATATTCTTTGAGAATTAAAAACTCATATTAATTATATTTCTCTTTTCAACTATCATTGCACTAATTCAACTATCATTGCACTTGTACACTGATATCATTGCACTGATACAACTATCATTGCACTGGAAAAAAAAAGTAATTAATATTGGTTTTTAATTCAATTATTAAATGTAACACAAATTTATTACCTTAAAAAGCCTATAATTAATATATGTATCATTTTTTTCAATCCCTTTAAAGATAGTCAAGATATCTCATCCTGCGGACATGGGTATAAATGACGCTCGTCCCATCCCATCCCAAACCAATGTAGTTATGCTGCTCACAGGCCAAAGTGTGAGTAGATACTCACACGGTGGATTTGTTGTCCACGTGGGCAAGGGTAAGCTGACTCTTGATTTGGGTAGAGGAAGGTGAGCCGGTTTGGGTCGGCTGGTCGAGCCCACGGCTGACCAAGCCCGCCGGCCCACAATTCAAAAATCAAACCCCCAATTCCCCTCTCTCCCCCACTTCGACTTCCCCTCTCTGATGCCTCTCCCCCACTTCGACTTCCCCTCTCTCTCACTTCCCCTCTCTCTCACTTCCCCTCTCCTCTCACAAACCGACGAAGAACAAATATTTAGCGGCAGCGAGCGAGCGAAGCGGCGGCGAGTGACCAGCGGTGCGGCGGCGAGCGAGCGAAGCGGCGGCGAGTGACCAGCGGTGCGGCGGCGAGCGAGCGAAGCGGCGGCGAGTGGTGCGGCGAGCTAAGCGGCGGCGAGTTCCTGCGGCGGCGAGCGAACCGGCGGCGACCGAAGCGGGATTTCGGCGGCGACGAAGGGCGGGATTTGGGCGGGATTTGGACTAAGGTAACTGTCTTTGTTCATGGATATTCATTTTCTCTTCGACAAATTTGAGTTAGGGTTTCATGGCTACGACTTGATCTGGGTTTTCCTTTTGTGGATTTGTCTTCATGGATATTTATTTTCGTTTGGACATATTTGAGTTAGGGTTTCATGGCTACGATCGGGTTTTCCATTATGAGTTCGTTCTTCTGTGGGTGTTATTTCTGGGTTTTGTGGATTTGCTTTGTGTTCCTTCCGATATTAGTTCTGTTCGGCAAGATATGCATTCTGTTCCTTCTGGATATCCGTTGTTTTTTGCCTGGGTTGTTGTTTAATGTATCTTGATATTGGTTTTGTTTGAGCATGATATCAATTATGACTTTCTTGGATAGTTGTTTGATAGGATCTGGGTATTTGTATGTGCAGAGATTTATCAATGGTGCACTCTAAATCTCTTATACATGTTATAATCTGTTTTGTGTGCGTTCCGATATTATTTATTTTGATTATGGATATCCATTGTATTTTGCTTGGACTGTTTCTTTGATATATCTGGATATTGGTTTTTACTAAGCATGATATGAGTTCTGACTTGTCTGGATAATTGTTTGATATATCTGGATATTGGTTTTTAATCAACATGATATGAGTTCTGACTTGCCTGGATAATTGTTTGATATATCTGGATATTGGTTTTTATCAGCATGATATCATTTGTAACTTGCCTGGATAATTGTTTGATATATCTGAATATTGGTTTTTGATTAGCATGATATCATTTGTGACTGATTGTTAGAAACAAGGTTTCTAACAGTTGTAGAATTGGGGAATTAGCTAGACCAACTAGGGATTGATCAAGTTAGGGATTAGAATTAGGGAATTTAGGAAGAAGAAAGGGGAAGGATGGCTGCCGATCGGCCAGAGAGAGAGGGAAAGAGAGAGGAAGTTCGGCGCTAGGGAGAGAGAGAGATTAGGATTTAGGTTTTCTGTAATTGATTGCTTAATGACAAAATAACTCCTACTGCAGATTATATAATCCGCAAAATACCTAACTGCTACCCATATAACGAAAATACCCCAAATGGTCCCCCAATTATCAAAACCGACAATAATACGAAATAATGAAAAGCTGTAAAGTGTTTGTTTCTAACATCCCCGCCTCCTTGGGAAACAACCTTGTCCTCAAGGTTGCGGCTTCTCTTGCTCTGCTCCGGGTTCCTCCACCATCTCATCCTCCGCCTCGTCTTCCCATCGTCCCACCAAGAACATCAAATCAGGTTTCCCGCACTTGTGACCAAAGGTAAACCGCTCGTCACAGTTGAAACACTTCCCTTCCCGCCTCTTCTGCTCGATCTCGGCCGGAGATAGCGTCCTAAATCCCTTGGGTGGTGGCCTCGGTCCCGTTCGCATGACAGCCGCAGGTGGGCCAGCCGCCGCACCCCCTCCCGAACTAGGCCCCGATGCAGCTCCACTTGTTCCCCCACTCGCGCTGCTACCACCGCCTCCTCCTCCGGCCGGCTTCTGGTAGCGGCCTATCACGCCCCGCCAACTAGCCAGCTCCTCCTCCTTATTACCTGCAAGACGGAAAACAGCTCGAAGTGAATCGGGCTCAAATACCCGCACAGCCGCTGCGATCTCTGGCCGGAGTCCCGCCATGCACAGACCCACCAATGTCTCCTCCGGTACGCCCTTGCACTGGTTACCCAGTTTAAAGAACTCTGCTCGATACTCCGCCACTGTCCCAGTCTGGCGCAGCTTCGCCAGCTGCTCCGGGGCCCACCCTTCCGACTTGCCAAACTGATACCTCAGCTCCTCCTTGAACATCGGCCAGGTAATCAGCGTTCGAGCTTCAGCATAGGTCCGCTCCATCCATTCCCACCACTGCAATGCATCCCCCTCTAAATAGAAGGACGCCAACTGAGCCTTCCGTTCCTCTCTAGTGGGATGGTTCTTGAACCACCGTTCTGCGGAGTATAGCCACAGACCTGCATCCTCCCTGCCATTGAATTTTGGGAACTCAATGGTTGGGGGCTTAGCTCGAAACACCATGTCATCTTCCTCCTCACCACCTCGGGAGTAACCAGCGTGCCTCCCATACCCCGGCGCCTCGCGGTGATAATGCTGCGAGTACCGGTGTCCCCCTTCATACTCCCACTCTCCTTCCTCCTCCTCGTGATGTCCCCGTCCTCGGCCCATCTCATTTCTCTGCCTCTGATCACCAGTTCCTGATCCCATGAATTCCCTACCAGTGCCGTGCTGATTCACAAACGGCGGTTGATTGCCACTAGGCTCGTCAAACTGACCTTGGCGAGCCGGAAAGCCCCTGCTGCCCGTTCCCCCTTGGCGCGCCAGCTGCTGCCCTGGTTCGGTCCTGGTCCGACCGGGTTTGGTCCGACCGGGTTTGGTCCGACCGGGTTCGGTCCGACCGGGTTCGACCCGACCGGGTTCGACCCGACCGCTTGGGCCCCTGCTCGACCCCGCCCGGCCCGCATACTCGGCCCGGCCCGCGGGTCCCCGGCCCATGGAGCTCGGCCGACCCACCTCCCAGCCGCGGTCCGCTTCTCGCCGCTTCCCACCTGGCCCGCCTTCCGTCCCAGCTCGGCCCATATGGCTTCCTTCATCCCTGTTATAATCCTCCCCGGGCCCATTCGGCTCATTGGGCCACGGCTCATGATCATACTCCTGCTCCAAGCCCATCAACTCTTCTTCATCCAAGCCCACGTACTCTGCCATCTTGGCCTTGCCCCGCGCGCGCGCCTTCTCCTGGGCCGAGGGGGTCGGAAGCAGCCCATCTTTGATTGTTGGGCCAAAGGAGACCTGGCCCGCACGCAACCCCAGCCGGTTAGGGTTGGCCGCCGCGCCGCCCTTCTCACCCCGCCCCTCCGCCGCCGTGTTCGCCGAGGCCCGCGCGGCGCCGTGGTCGCCGGCCGCCTCCACCGAAATCGACCCCTCCCCTGGCGCGCCGCCCTCCCCGTGCAACTGGCCGCCGCCGCCAGCTTCGATCCCTGATTTCTTCAGGGCCGCCACCAAGTCACCCACCTGTCCCGCCAGTGCCTTCACAGCTCCTGTCAGAGCATCAAGGGTTTGGCCTTGCTCCCTAGCCCTCTCCTGCAGTTCTCCCAACTCTTCCTCCACCCGCGCCTGTCTCCTCGCCTGCGCCTCCAGATCCCTCCTCAACTCCTCATTGCCGGTCAGATCCTCCACAGCCCCATCGACCCCGTCGTCACCTGCATCGGCGCCCTTGTCACCCGCCTGATTCGCCTTCTCCGCTTTCTCTGCTGCCTTCATGGATTTCGTCGTTACCATCGTTTGTTCTCCGGTTTCTAAGCTGTCCCTGACGGAGTTGGGAAGAACTCTCCGATCGGAACCGGGCTCTGATACCAGATGTTAGAAACAAGGTTTCTAACAGTTGTAGAATTGGGGAATTAGCTAGACCAACTAGGGATTGATCAAGCTAGGGATTAGAATTAGTGAATTTAGGAAGAAGAAAGGGGAAGGATGGCTGCCGATCGGCCAGAGAGAGAGGGAAAGAGAGAGGAAGTTCGGCGCTAGGGAGAGAGAGAGAGAGAGAGAGAGATTATGATTTAGGTTTTCTGTAATTGATTGCTTAATGACAAAATAACTCCTACTGCAGATTATATAATCCGCAAAATACCTAACTGCTACCCATATAACGAAAATACCCCAAATGGTCCCCCAATTATCAAAACCGACAATAATACGAAATAATGAAAAGCTGTAAAGTGTTTGTTTCTAACACTGATCAGTTGTGACTTGCCTGGATAATTGTTTGATATATCTGGATATTGGTTTTTGGTCAGCATGATATCAGTTGTGATTTCCCTGGAGAATTGTTTGATATATCTGGATATTGGTTTTTAACCAGCATGATATCAGTTGTGATTTCCCTGGATAATTGTTTGATATATCTGGATATTGGTTTTTAACCAGCATGATATCTGTTGTGAATTGCTTGGATAATTGTTTGATATATCTGGATATTGGTATTTGGTCAGCATGATATCAGTTGTGATTTCCCTGGATAATTGTTTGATATATCTGGATATTGGTTTTTAACCAGCATGATATCTGTTGTGAATTGCTTGGATAATTGTTTGATATATCTGGATATAGGTTTTTGGTCAGCATGATATCAGTTGTGATTTCCCTGGATAATTGTTTGATATATCTGGATATTGGTTTTTAACCAGCATGATATCTGTTGTGAATTGCTTGGATAATTGTTTGATATATCTAGATATTTGTACGTGCAGGGATAAAACGAACGTGAAGAGACATCGACGAAATCCACCGCCGTCACCACCACCACAGCCAGAGGAGGATGAGGAAGAAGAAGATGCCGAAGTCGCAGCGCAAGTACGTGCACAAGGAGTAAAGACCTTTAGATAGGGTTCAGTTTTCAAATACTGATTTTGTATCCGATTGAAGATGTTAGGAGTAAAGACCTTTGCCGCATGTTGTAGGAACGGGCTATCCTCCATCATAATATAAGGAACCGATTGTTTCCCATTGTAGTCTGACTCAGTCTCCTTGCGTCTTTTTTCAGCCAACAAACTACATTTACAAAGCACGAGAAAGAGTTTAGTGCCCAGACTAATATCCACTCAAACCAATATTAATATCTCAACTAAACAAAGTAATATTTAACAATAGCATATAAATATCCGGACAACGCTGACAAATATCCAAAATTTAAGTAGACTAATATCAAAGAAAGGCAAATAAATATTCTGCGTACCTGCTAAAGTGAATGAAAAACAAGTCCAAATCATTTTCAATAAAAGTCGCACTTGTGCATTGCACGACTCGCTGACTTGCGTAGTCAACATCCCGACTGCGAATTGATCTCTCAACCATAAGGAACACCATCGACGACGAAAACCTACAAACATCCCTGCACAAGACAACTATTAATGACAATGCATAACTGAACGAGTGTAAAAAAAACTTATGGGAATTAGGAATTGGGAATTAGGAATTGATATTTAACAATAGCATATAAATATCCGGACAACGCTGACAAATATCCAAAATTTAAGTAGACTAATATCAAAGAAAGGCAAATAAATATTCTGCGTACCTGCTAAAGTGAATGAAAAACAAGTCCAAATCATTTTCAATAAAAGTCGCACTTGTGCATTGCACGACTCGCTGACTTGCGTAGTCAACATCCCGACTGCGAATTGATCTCTCAACCATAAGGAACACCATCGACGACGAAAACCTACAAACATCCCTGCACAAGACAACTATTAATGACAATGCATAACTGAACGAGTGTAAAAAAAACTTATGGGAATTAGGAATTGATATTATGCCAACACATGTCAACAAATATCTGTAAAACCCAGACTAGTATCTCATAATGTCATACCAATATTCGTCCTTTTACAAAAACATATCCTATCAGGTCATGTCAATATCGGCCCAAAAAATTGTTTTACACCATCGACGACGAAAACCTACAAACATCCCTGCACAAGACAACTATTAATGACAATGCATAACTGAACGAGTGTAAAAAAAAACTTAAGGGAATTAGGAATTGATATTATGCCAACACATGTCAACAAATATCTGTAAAACCCAGACTAGTATCTCATAATGTCATACCAATATTCGTCCTTTTACAAAAACATATCCTATCAGGTCATGTCAATATCGGCCAAAAAAATTGTTTTATGAGCCTTCGGCCCATGGGCCCTCGGCGGGCAGCCCTTACTAGGCTGCAAGCCACCAAACCCTAATTGTTCCTTCATATTCAACTTCCCGCCCAAAATTTCTGGCCGCCCTCACCAGACCCAAATTATTCCTTCCTTTTCCAACTTCCCGCCCAAAAATTCGGGCCACCCAAAAAGCTGCCCACCTCCCGCCCAAAATTTCGGGCCGCCCAAAACCCGCCCACTTCCTCCGCCCAAATTCTCGGCTCACCCAAAAAATGGCCTTTTTCTCTCTCCTCTTGGCTCATGGGTCAGTGAGTATCTACTCACAAATTGACCTGTGAGCAGTTTAACTTTTTCGTCCCAAACCGACCCACCCCGCCTCGCCCGTCTAATCCGAACTTGCTGTGCACACGGAGAATAAAACCTTCTGAATCTCCACCGACACCGATATCTGTTAATATCCAATCTCTTGACTCTCCTTATTCTTCTTCCCATTTACCTACCCCTCTCATTTAGTTCCCAATCCCACCCTTTCCTTTTCTCCAAACGTGAATCTTTTACATATCGAAATCCATCCGTTCACTTTTACTTCTCTGTGCCTTTTGATTTTTGCTTCTCCTCTAGAAAAGCATAACCAAAGCTAAACGTCTTTCCTCTCTCAATTTGTGCTCTCCCTCTCGATTCTATATGACAACAAAGAGGGAGGAAAGGCAAGGCGACATCAACCACACCATCGACGGAGGTCAAAGATTAGTAAGGGTCCAGGTCATTAGATGCATGTTTATTTCACAATTTATTTGCCTTGTTTTCAGTTTTGGATCTTGTTCTAATGATTTTTTTGCTTCCCCCCCCCCCCCCCCACCCATTTTTGAGGATCTAGTTCCCTACAAGGCAAGAGGAAAAGGTGTCACCGACTAGGATTTTGATGGTTGTGAAGCTGATGATGACTGGGTTCTAAGTAGGGTTTCTACATTCACTTCTAAGTCTTTTAGTTTTTACTAGATATGCTCGCTCGCTCCGCTAAACTCAAACTGAAAAAAATACAGGGGTAACTCCCATTTGATGAATAGGAACATATAAACATCTAAATAGGAATCAAGGAAACACATTTTGTAATAAATTAAGGGCAATGTCTATTTTTTACCCAAATCTTTTTCAGATTCTTTTATTTTAACCAAACCTATTGAATTCCTAAAAATTATCCAAACGTTAACTTTCTGTCAACTTTTCTGTTAGTAATGCTGACTAAGTATGACCATAATGAGTTGACTTACTACGTGATGGTCAGAATACCATCATTTACTATTTTTAATAAAAAGATTATCAAAAAACAAAACATAATCGCACTCCTCATGTGGACGAAATAAGTAACGGTAACAGAATGAATGCCCAGACTTTGATAAATTATAATACGTTTGGATAATAAATAGAATTTCTATAGGTTTGGTTAAAATAAAAGAATCTGAAAAAGGTTTGGGTAAAAAATAGACATTTCCCATTAATTAAAGCAAACAATAAAAAATGTACTCGTTTGGCCAATGAATAGGTACCGATTGGGGAACAACAAACAAAAAGGTAAACTTGAAAATCCTTTTTGATTGTGAAACTTGATTTGAATTGTTGAGACTTCATTAATGTGGTTCGATTGTTCTTCAATGAGTACTACTGCAGCGACTCCGTTGTTCCACCTTACGGGTGTCCTCAAATCTAACAAATCTCTAAAGAGATAAATAAGGGGGACAAACCAAATACGAATAAAGAAATTCGTTTGTTTGGTTCGGATGCCACTTGTGTTCTCTTCATGAACTTCTGAGTTGTTTTCATATTTGAGTTCGAGCAAAAAAAGATAAATAAGGGGTAAAAACCAAATCTGAACAAAGAAGTTTGTATCGTAAAAAAAAGGATAGTAATAACTAATGAGGGAGAGATTTAGATGCATCCACCACAAAAAATGCTCATTTCACTCACTCTTTTTTACTGCCATCTCACACTTTCTTTTTCTTTGGTCCCACCTTATGAAATTTTGTCCCTAAAGTCCAAAAAAATTATGATAAGCCCGTTTAATGAACAGTAGAAGCAAAAATATGTCAAACTTTTACTTTATTAAGTTTTTTATTTTTGTAAATACAAAGTACTATGAATTATAAAAAAGGGTTAATAGCATTTTGTGCTCTTCTACTATTGCAAATTAACAAACGTGCCCCTATACTCCTTCGACAACTAGTTCTCGGATTGCCTACAATTATCTCAGTCACGAGTTCTCTCATATCCATTTCATTAAAGTATGAAAATCGTCCTATCATCCACATGCCTTTCCTGTTCCATGACATGCGGTATCTCCATCCATAGTTCCTTCCTCGTATTAGAGAATGGTGTTAATCCTTCCCACCATCTACCCAACTTATGTTTCATGCTTTGCACAAACTAAAGTTTCTTAAAACGAAATTGAAAGACTGGAACTACCAATCATTTGGTAGGGTGGATGAAGAAAAACAAAGGCTCATTGATGTCATCATATATCTAGACTCCAAGGAGGAGACATACCAACTATAGGAGGAAGAAAATATGAATAGATGTCTCCTTAAAACTCAGTTGGATAGCATTCTTTTCGAGAAGAGATTATCTGGCCGCATAAATCCCAACAAACTTGGCTCAAAGAAGGTGGCGACAATACTAGCTTCTTCCACCTAGTAGCAAACTAGAACAGACACATGAACTTCTTATCTAAATCCAGAAACAATGGCCGTACCAAATTAATATTTGGACCGAATTGAATCAAAATGAATATATTTCTATTCGGTTTGGTCCTATAAATTATTTGAACTATAAAGAAAAAATGGACCGAAATTGAATATATTTGTACTTGCCTGCATAATTAGGATATGGTGGTAGGAATTGAGATATTAAGTAGGCATTATGGGCTATAGATGGAGAAATTGGTGGTGAAGGAACATTATTAGCACCAGACTTCATCATGCACCTTAGCATGTTCATTTCTTCAGGTGTAAAACCTACCACAGTTTTGGATGAACTTACAGGGCTACCTCTAGGAGTGTCATTTGAACTTGTGTAGCTTACTTCTGCAGATGAGTCATTGGAGCTCGTATGGGATACTGAACCATCAAAACCAGTGACGTTTCCTTGTGTGCCTCCCGGGACACGTTCATCTTACATATGCCTTTTCTTCTTAACTCTCCAGCATTCTTCCACATTGTGACTATACTTCTTATAGTAAACATAAAATTTCTTCTCGTGATTCCTTGGATTTCCTTCTTGTCCTGGGATTGTGGATTCCTGGGACACAGTTATAGGGCACAATAGGAATGAACTACACAAACTCTTCCCACAATCCCTTAATCAGGTTATGATGCCGATTGATAGTGATATTTCCCTGCTTACATCTATGATTTTCGTCCTCCATATTAGTAATCCTAATCACTTAGGCTTAACATACTTCCACTTCAGTTCATCCCATAATACTTTAGCACTTACACAAATCATAACAGATCTCGTTAGATTTTTATGCAAGGAGTTTAAGATCCAAGATAAAACTGATGTGTCATAAGCATCCCACAACAAATATTTATCATCACTCGCTGGAGGAATTAGTATACTGCCATCGATGAAGCAAAACTTATGCTTCATCTTAAGATCCATGACGACAGAACTACTCATATGGGATAATTAGTTCCATCGAAGACTTATGTGCCTATAGCCTGATTTAGAGCTTCATTAGGGTTGAGATACTAGGGATCATCAAAGGTGATGACCTCAGATTTGGGTGCATTTTGAAGCTGATGTTTTTTTTTTCTTCATATTTCCCGAACTGAATGCCATGTAACCCAGACCCAGTTGCGCCAGTCAATCCAATTCCTGACAACGGTGGTGCCCATCCATGGCTACTCAACGCTGGGGTGTTCATGATAACCTAGATGTGTTTCCACTATGATACCATTAGGAGAAAGCTTTGGAGAAAGCAGAACCCTCAAAGGAATTACGGGTCAGCTGTTCCTTTCATATGACGCGGCTAATTCAAATTAGCTCGCCAATCCACGTGGGAGCATGCCACTGGTTAATTACAAACTTACCTAGTTTAGCAATGGCTAACTAAACATAAATGAAACGACGTAGCTTTAGCTTTGTTCATTTAAAAGAAAGACAAAAACCGCAAACGTTTTCGTAACGCCTTCGTTCTTCAACTCTGCAATCCTTCCTCTATTTGGATTCAACCTTCTTCTTCATATGTTAGACAACAATCTCTGTTGACAGTGTCTAACAAATAGGAAGTCGAGTATTCTGTAGAAAGCTGAATGTCAACGGATCAACGGGAGGAGGTACCACAATCATCAAGAGGTGGCTTTGTCATTGGGACTTTTGGGGCAATGTGCACAACAGAATGGCGATGGAAAGTACAAGAACCCAGAAGCAACTTGCAATTTGGGTTTTTGGGGTAGGCCTTCGAGGAAACACCCACCCGAAAAGCATGGGCCACTGGCAAAAGAAAGGGAAAGCGATGTCATGTGCACTAACCCACGAGCTAGAGTGAAGCCATATCCACTGGTAGTTTTTTTTTCAAGGAAAACAAAATACGACAAAAACTGCTACAGTAGTGGAAAGAAAGTGAACCCAATTTTTATCTAGTATACTTATAATACGCTGAAGGGGAAAAATGAATCCCCATTTCAAAAATCCTGCCTCCAGAGCGTTTTACGGAGGGGTACTTTTGGAAACAGAAAATTGCAATGGGCTCCTTTGGAGACGTTGAACGGGCCCACTAATTGTCTAAGCCCAGGAAAAGAAAAGTCGTTCCAGAGATGTGAAGAAACCCCAAGTTCTTTTACCGTCATCATCCACTCACCCCTACACTGTGTGCGATTCTGCTATTTCCTCTCCTCCATTGTTAAGGCTGCCGTCGTCGACTCCATACACGCCGGCGTCGGCAAATCCAACCTACTCTCTCGCTTCACTCGCAGCTGAGTTATACTTGGGGTCCAAGTCCACCATTGGCGTCGAATTCCTCACTCGCACTCTCCAAGTAACTTCCTTTTCCCACCCATCTCTCTATTTCTCCGCTCCTCTCTGCAAAAAAAAAAAACCCTTTCTTGCTCTGCAATTTCGGTTTGCCGCTTGATCGATCCCTTGCTTTATTTCCCAATTCCGACGTGCCTATTTTGATCTGGGTCACTGCAGTAAAGAATTTCGAGTTTAGTTGTCCTCTGTTCTGGTCTGGAGACGTGTTTGTTTTAGTTCGGTGTTTGACTAGAGAGGATCTATTCGGTTTTGAGTTTGAATTTTGAATTACACCCACCAGTTGGAATCCACTGATCATGCCCTGGATCTGATTCCTTTTGTTGAATCAATATTAGATGACTAAGTGTAGTGGTTTACTTGGTAGCCAGTGATCCTCATCCACTGCCCATTGAAGTGTTCAATTGGCAAAATGTGTTTAAAAGGAACTCATCCTTACAATTCCTCTTGAGTTGCTGGGTAAAGAGGTTATATATTGGTCTTACACTATATAATATGCTGCCAAAGTTTGGAACTTGATGTTGGAACTGGGGTTTTATCTAGCGAAGAACTTGTATTACATACCTGATGAAATGTTCTTAACTGTGGTTTGTTATGTGGGAACTGTTTGGTTTCATGTGTTGAAGAATGGTGGGGTATATGCTGAAAGCATGACACCTTGCTAATGTGAGATCATGCTAAGAAAACGCCTAATCTAAAGAGCGAGATATGCTTAAAATACTTGGAGTATGCAGGTTAGAGTTGAATGCGTATTGTTTGAGATTCTTTGTAAATGTTCTGTTTCTTAGCATAGTTGTGCTTATTTGTCTCCGAACTTTATCATCTTACATATGTTTCTTCCGATTTCAGTGCTGAGAAGTAAATCTTTGCGAGGAACCAAAAGGTGTCTGATTCTGATGTTTGTTCGGTGTCGAGAAGATAATCTTTCCCGAGGGAGATAGCATCAGGTTCGTTTTGATTTGCCCATGGTTGTGGCAAAAAAAAAAGAAATTGATGCACAATTTGGGTTGGTTTTCCATTTCCAATTTGATTTGTGTCGAAATTGTCTGCTCATAGGTTAGTTCTATTGCCTGGATGTGGGTCTCCATGACAATGATTGATTCTCAAGTTGAGGGGTTTTTAACTTCCAATTTGAGTTTGCTAGGAAGTTCATACGCAGGTTGGGTTTTGAATCTGAATTGGGTCGTGCATTTTGTGTCAACATTGAACTGGATCACAGTGCTCGCATATTCAATTGTGAAAGGAATCGCCAAGCTTGCTGCTTCCTTACTTCGCAGGCAGTTGGTAGGTGGAATCTCCGGGCCTCTTCTGGTGTCGTATTGTATTGGTTTTATTATATGCTTGATGCATTTTGAGTGCTCTTTTCTTGTGGTCACACTCCTCTGAACACAATCTTTTATTTGTTGTTATTATCAGCTATATTTCAATTTTTTACTTCACATAGCAGCAAGGTTCATTGCAAGCTTTACTATTCGTAGCTCAGCTCTCCTACTCTGACACAAACAACTTCTTTGAATCCAATAAGCTAGGGGAGTGTGGCTTTGCCCTGTCTATAAGGTTTATTTCTCTCTTCGCATATACATCTCAGTTTGTTTGTTCTTTCTATAACCTACCGATGAAAATGAATGCATAATGAAATCTACCATTTATACCTATTTGTGATAAATTATTTTCAGGGAGGAAACTCAGAACCAGAGTCAATGAGCAACTAATGGAACTGAATGCATAATGAAACCTCCTATTGACACTTCTTTGTGATCACAAACTTCATCCAAACCGACACAGTGATTTAACAATGCAATTGACAAGGAAATTTTTTAGCAGCGTACTCCCAACATCTTTTCATTCCTATATCGCATCTAGATTAACTAATATTGCACTGAATATCACCATCCAAACCTCATAGAACCTTTATTCGATCACCCGAATACAATCATTCAATGTCTGGCTTTATCTTAAAGGGATTTGCTACAGATAAAGAAATTGGAGAGCAACGTGGGTACCTCCTCGGATGCTCTATTCCAGGTTAATCTATTTTGTCATCTTTTGTTGCTATATAGATATATGAGAATTAAGTTGAACAGTTGTATGGCTGCATTTGCATTACTTTCAATCCAATAAACCCCTTGACTGTTGATCTCTTTGGTAACATATTTTAGGAGAATCACACTGCTGGTGTAAACATAAAACATAAGCATATTTTCACTTATTTTCTCGCCTGCACCGAGTAACTCTCTAGATTGAATATAGAACCAATCACACAACACTCCTATTCAACTATATTTCCATTTACCTCAGCCACACATTAAGCAAGCAGTTCTTTGCAAGCTTCGTTTAGGAACACGCTACACTCACCAATGAAATATATGGTGATTTATAATACTTTTTCAATAATATAATAATTGTGGGTCAATATTAACCAAAAAGTCAACCAAATTGAATAACAAAAATTGTATTGCAGTGCATAATCAATAAGAGTAATCACGCTTGGATATTAGAAAAGTATCTTCTTAGAAGTTATATTTTTAACAATGGTTATGTTTAATTTGTCTTCCTAAGTGATGGAAATTTAAGAAAGGAAGCCTCAAAGGATTAAAACAGAAATACTAAGTTAATTCCAAAACCGACATTCCTAAACAGCCTCATAGGAGAAATATATATTAATACGTTAACAAGTTGAGCAGAATGAGACGGGGCGAAGCAAAGTGGGTTGGAAGTTGATACCATGTCCTGCCCATTCTACTGCGGGTCGACTAATACCCGCCCTATTACAGGTCAGATCAGGTAATACCCACATGGTAGGTTCAAATTGTCATCACTAATTATCCTTGCTGAGTAATAGAGATCCAATGAAGAATTATTGACTAACCTACCCGGCCCGTTAGCTAGTATTTTAAAAGAATGAAAATATGTGACGAAGCCAGAATTCTAAATGAGAAAACTCAAAGTTGAGGGGCTATCTTCCCTAACCTCAACTTAGCTCCATTAAGTGATGGAAAATAAATGTATTTGAATCAATAGACATATGCAACTTCTTAACTGCCGTAGTTTCTACTCCTGCTAATAGTATTATTGACAAACAAGCTCGTTGCGTGTGTATCACAATTCACAAAAGATCTACATATGGAGGATATCTGAAATAATAGAGCAAATGATGAAGAGGAGATTGAATGACTAATAAGTGGAACCTAGAAAGAAGAAAAAAAATTGAACTCACGCTCCCGTCATTACTTCATTATTCACCAACACCAACTTGTTCTCCACGTCGTTACTTCCAGTAATGTTACAATACTGATCATCCCAAGAATGAGGAGAGGGTGCCTTTAGTAGCGGCCACAAGACGTTATTATTCAGTTGCTTCATTGCTTTCATGGTCGTTGCTTTCGATTTTTGCCTCACGAGGCCATGCAATGCCTTGAGGTAGTTGCCCGAGTCATGGTCTCGCAGGATTGTGCCTTCGGAACCATAGGCTGTAGGGTTACTCAGAGTTTCCAGTGGGTGAGGGCGGTTCAGAAATGCCTTGAGGGCACTACCTTTGGAGGACTTGGAGTCGTTGCCATCGGAGTGGTTCCCAAGCTTCGGATCATCTAAAGTATAGAAGCCACTTCCCGACGGCATTAAAGGATGTGCAGGGGATGATTCCTCTTCAGGCTGGAGGATGAACAGCTTCCCGAGAGGCGAGTACAGCATCTTCTGCTTATTAAGGCAAGGGTGGGATCTGAAGGTTCCATTCAAACGCTTGAGGAGTAGTGCCACATGGTCGGGATAGTTGCAGGAGAAAGCTCTTGGGACGATGTCCCTGTGCATGATAACAGAGTGAATGTGGGATTCATCCAACCCCAAGTTGCTGAGCACCTTCTTACCTCCACAAAACACGAAAGGGGAGCCGAAAGTGACCACTGGTCGGAGGATAGATGGATTCGTAACTACCTTCCTCGTCAGCAGCATCAAGTGGATCAGAAGCGATAGGCTACCCCCTAGTGAGTGACCTGTAAACTGGAGCTTTGCACGATCTCCATACCTCTCCAAATGACTCATAATCTCTGGCATAAATTGGTCATATATTCCCTTGGCTGCTTCATAAATCCCTCTGTGAACCAGCACATCAGTTCCCTGAGAAAGACAAGTTATTCAGCAATAGATACCTTTTGTGTCCGCCTTATAATTTGTATCTGTTGATGTTTTATTTTACCTATGGATAGAAGACATACCTCAAACTTGGCAGGTTCAAAGAAGAGGTTTGCCTGCCAAGAAGCAAAGGAGTCTGAACCTTGAATTACGAAAGAACGAGTATAAGTACTGGAATCGTCACAAATGAACCATTCACAAGGGGATGACTGGAGGGACTGGAGGTTGTTTGCGGTCTCCTGTTTGTCCTTCTCTCCTGCTGCAACAACTGCTGTCATAGTTGATGCAGCAACATATGCTGCCACCTCCGACGGTGATTTTTTGTTTAATGGATGAGGTTGGTCTGAATAAGAAGAGCTCTGATCTGAGTGAATTTCCTTCGCCCGTGATTGAACATAAGAAGCTGCAGAAACCGCAATCTCGTAAGCAACTTCAGGACGACACTTGTGCTCTTCTTGGCTCCCACTAGGTTGCTCAGAAATTGCAGGTAAAACATAAGTAGAATCTCCGTCATCAAGCTTCGCTTTCATTGCAGCCACCTCAGCTTTCTTTTCTAAAGATGATGTCACAAACTGGAGCCCATAATGTCGTTTCAGATCATTGGCCTGCATATGTACGAGAAGACATTAGTAAACAAAATGTAAAACAATTTAGTTGCAGTGGAAACCAAAATCAGCCAAGTTTGCGGATATGTTCAAGCCTAGGTACCTTAATGTCAGGTATAACATAAGCCATGTTGCACAAGAAAGCCAATTTGGAGAACAGCTTAGTATCAGACCAAGGAACACGGGTCAAGAGTCTGGAGAAAGTCTCCCTCTCATTGTACTCGTTCTCTTCTTCTTCTGAGCTGTTGTAATCCACCATACAACCAGAACTTTCATCATCGCCATTATAATCATCACAGTCACAGCCAGTTTTATCCATATGATGAAGATCATCATCAGAAGAAGAGTCCATGTCATGGCCATCTTTCTTCTGTAGTCTAATATTCCTCCTCCAATGGCTTCTGATTTCTAAGAGCCTCTCCACCCAATTCGCTCTCTTAACCCCCTCGTCGATGTTGCCGTCACTTATCATCTCATTGCTCTCTTGTCCGGACCTCTCGACTTCACTAGTGCTTGCCACCTCCTCCTGATCACGACGATCCTCTATGCTCGCCATCGACAATGGGTCAAACAGTAGAAGGGACTTAACAGGGTCTGGGATGAAGGAAGAATTGCCCGACATTTGGAATAACGGGAATCCAAACGAACGGCTGCTCTTCAATTTAGGCTGCACTGATGAGCAGGCGCGTATATTGCAGTTCACGGATTTGCATAATAATAGGTGATCGTCAGAATACGACCTCCGGATGTTAGCTTGTTGACTCCTCCTCAAGTCTTTGCCTGAATCCGAACGCCGGAGCCCATTGTAGTGCTCTTTCAACAAGTGCTGCGTTGTAGAAGCTGTACCTGCCGGAGATGCCGCCACTGAGCTGCATGCCATGGCTTCCCTCGGCCCTCCCCTTGCTTTCTACTACTGCCTTGTTTTGGGATTTTTGGTGTGGTTTCCTGAGAACAATTCAATACCATGTAAGCTGCTTTTATATGGGGGGCGTATCCATAGCCAAACAACGCTAGCTCCTAGAAATCATCGACATCATTAAACTGGCGTGCCCGCCTAGTACTGATGCGTGAAAATAACCATCCACCCGCCTAATTTTGGGAACAGGACAGGAAGTTGTAGTTGTATTCAAGAACCTGTTCCTTTCTTTTTTCCTATATTCCCTGGGATTATGCAGTACTTTTGTGCTCTTGGGTTCATTTCGTCCAAGAGCTGATAATGATGGGTTGATGTCTGATTTCTGATTTGCTTGTAGTGTCTCACAAAGCAAAACAGTTGTCGTTATTCAGAAGAAAACAACAAGTTCTAAGAAACCGCTAAAAACAAGGACGCAACCGAATAGTCGTCAAAGGAGTTTGGTTGGAATCCAAATAACAAGTTAGCAGCAGGTGAGGAGCAAAACAAGTTTTAAACGGACAAAAGCATCCTGAAGGAATCCTAGCCAATAAAAATAAGAAGGAACAAAATAGACGGCCGCGTCGTTTACCTTGGGATAAAAAGGGAGAGGACCCGGTGAAAATGTTTAGTTGGTGTGGTCTGGAAGACGACAGGGTTGAACCCTGACATGTTTTTTGGTGGGAAGATCTCCATGTCGTGAACATCGAAGTTAACAACTGCGAAAAGAAAAGCTACTAGAATGAGAAAAAGGAGCAAGTTTACTTTCGAGCAAGTCCCCCAAGTTTCTAAAGATCCTGCCTTGGGCAGATTTTCGTTAGATATATGGTATATAGTTGGCCATGGTTGGAACATCCTGCGAAAACCCAGAAATAGAAGGGTCCATAAAATATTGCTATTAAGAATCTAGAAGTGCAGACTGCAACCCAGTTAGACCAACCTCGCTCGAAGAGTCTAATGTTCTGTTATTTATGTGCTGTAGTGACCAGAATCCCGGGGCTGGAAACAACTGGAGCACAAGTAATTAAGTCGTGCGCTGCAACTCTGGATTTCATAAGAGGAATTTCCACATTTCGCCTGTTAACAGAACAAAAAAAAAACAGTTTCAGGGTAGCAAAAAATGAAGCACATGCCGATCCAGTCCATCCATCAGACAACATTCAACAAATTGCACTCACGTTTGGTGCCCAGCAGCAACATGTTGTGCTGAACTGAATTTCCCTATGCACTTCCCATAAGTGGGATTGCATTCAGGGCCGTCCCATGATATTAGGAGGTAGGGGTGCGCAACGGGAAACGGGTATTTGGGTATACCCGTACCCGTCCCGTTTTTTAAGGGTTACGGGTATCCATATTACCCGTAATATTTTAAATGGATGGGACTTGGGATTGTACAGTCCTAATATGGGTACCCGCGGGTTACCCGCGAATACCCGTTTGGGTAATATGGGTACCCGTTGTACCCATTCAAAGTACAAAGATAGATTTAATTCAGTTAAGAACATACTGATGAGAAATATATGCTTTCATTTTTGGCAGGTGAGTATCCCAGGATCTTGGTACTTCATATGCTGGGGACATGTAGTCAGTGGGGAAAGTGTGGGAGCACCCTAAGTTTTGGAGATACAGTGGGAAAATGGCAGTGGGTTTGTCTTTGGGATGTAATTGTCTTTGGGATGTTTTGAAATGAATGCTTGTGCATACAGGGATTGAATTTATGTTTTTGATCATATCGTGTTCTTATTATTCCCCGCAAGAACATGTTATTGTTAAGATATGTAATGTGATGTCATTTAAACTTTGGGTATTTTATGGGTAGTATGGGTACCCATTATCCGTCCCGTACGGGTAATGGGTACCCGTTTCCCATATGGGTTTGGGATATGGGATGGACTTTGGTCTCCAAATGGGACTGGGTACCCGTTTAAAACGGGACGGGTATCCCGTCCCGTCCCGTTGCCCACCCCTATTAGGAGGCCCTGTTCGAAAATTTAAAATGTGGCCCTAAAAATTTTTCCCCGCAAATTTATTAAAAAATAAAAATTATTAAAAAAGTTGCATAAGCTCGGAAAATGATTACAAGAGGAATAATTGATCATGTTTCTAGTTTGACCAAGAAACCAATACCAAATTCTTAGTCCTAGTAGGGAGGGAAGTAAAGCTGGAGGGAAGAGAAAATAGATATAGCGCAAAAATTGAATGGAGAAATGAAAATAGTCTAAATTGATCGCGAGAGGTGTGTACGGGGTTGTCTAATAGATCGTGGAGGCCATGTTCCAAAATTGAGACGTGATCCGAATTGAGTTTTAACTATAATAAAACTAAAATGATTATATTACCATTATTCAACATGTAATATCTTTCTATATTGTTTAAACTAAAATTATCTATTATCTCTATGATTTTCGTAGTCTTAATGAGATCATTTTTATTTGTTATTATAGCTAAAATTATCTATTAAACTCGTCATCATACTCATAATCAATCAATCATACACTAAAAATACAACCTACAATATACGATCGGTAACTAACTTATCTAAGTGGAGGCCCCAAATATTCGGAGGCCCTGTGCCGGAGGGCGGGCCAGCACACCCTCTAGGCCGGCCCTGATTGCATTGACAGATGACGGGTTTAAATGGACAATATAATTTACTGTATGATCATCCTCTGGTGAATCACCAGAGCAGTAACCATCAGGAGGTGCCATTTATAACAGATCATCTACATGAGCCTCTGCTTGGCAGTCAAAAGGAACATAATGCGACCTGGAACATGAGGACCCATCACATCTTTCCGGTGAAACATGATGTTGTTGCGGTCTGACATCACAGATTTCCCAGATTCGCTATAGATGGGCCCGGGTCTCAAACCGAGGGACTTGGTCTTTCCATGGTCAAACTTGCTCATAATTTTGGGCAGTTAGCTGAAGTAAATGTATCACCAACATACCACTCAGGTTTACTTCAGATCTTTCTGACAAACATCTCCTTCGGAGTAAGATGCGTCGATATTTTGATGACTTCATCTTCGCCGTCTCCACGAGCACAAAAGGGTCCATTGATTTGCTTGTGTCAGAACCAATGCTTACCACCATTCACTTATCTCCAATGCCAGTTAAAGTTAACAACAGTCCTGGAATTCCACCAGCTGTTTCCAAGCAAACAACGGAGAGAAATACATGATTGATCTGAGACAAAATATGTGCATAGAGAATTCAGTTTCCTCATCCGATCAGGATCATAATTGGCCAAGCAAAGACTTAAGGGAGAGAATGCAGATGGCAGTAAAAAGAACACCTGCCACACACATGTTTTGTTTTTGTTTTCTCATAATATCTGCAACACACTTGTTCACACAAAGAATACAGGGCTGGCAACCTCTCACACTCACCTATGCTGGGAAATTCCAGCTAGTCACTGCTGTGTTAGCAAGCCTGACTCACTTCTGGATGAGTGTAATTCAGCTACCTAAGAAAGTCATAAGGGAGGTAGAGCAGCTGTGTTCTAAGTTCTTATGGGGAAATATTGAGCAGGAGAAAAAGGCAAAAGTTTCATGGAAGTATGTTGCTATTCCAAGATAAGAAGGGGGATTGGGGTTTAAGGATTTACATACATGGAACAAGGCATGTTTAATTAAGCATCTGTGGCCAGTAATTTCTGATCAAAAGACCCTCTGGACTGCTTGGATAAAAGAATATAGACTCATGAACATTAGCATCTGGGAGATTAGTACAAAGTGGTCGTGAATCTGGAATAAAATCTTGAAGCTAAGACCTGAAGTGAGAGACCACTTCAGAATGACGAGGCAGGAGGTAGAGTGGCAGGGGAAGCTGATGGATAGATACCACATGTCTCAGGTTTGGGAGAGTATACGGCCAAGGCAACAAGTAGTCACCTGGAGTTCTTTGGTTTGGCACTCAGGTATGATCCCCAGAAACTCATTCATAGTTTGGCTTGTTATGCTTGACCGGATTACTACATTGTCAAAGGTTAAGACTTTGAATCCAAATGTTTGTGCTCTCTGTCCTTTGTGCTCATCTGAGGAGGAGACAAGAGAACACTTGTTCTTCTCCTGTGATTATGTGAAACGGATTTGGAATGTAGTCTGGGTGGCCTAGCCTGTTGAGTTTTATGAGGACTGGGTTACAGGGGTAGAAGGTTGTTTGGAGGGAAGAAGCTGGAATGCATGGGGCTGGTGGAAAAGATGCAGGAGGTATAGCAGGCAAAGCTGGATGGTGATGGGAAGTTTGCTGTTGCAGCTAGCTCCCGCAAACTATGGTTCTGTTGAAAAGCAGGAGTCTCATTTAGTTACTCTGGTTGTAATCTGTTGTACTTGTATCTGTTTTGTTTTGATTGGTGATGGTGTACAGAAACATCTTGTAACAGATGGTATTTTGATGAAATAAAATCTAACAATTCATAAAAAAAAACAAATACTATCTTGGGTTAAACCATAACTTAGATAGCTTAATCTTATGCTCTGCACAGAATTGCTGCGACCCCTACACATGGTACAGAGATATGCAGATATTGAGTCAAACTGACGTTCCCACATGCTCATAAAGATCGATTTCACATTCTTTTTCCTATCTCACATAGTGGACATTCTTTAATCAAATGCGGATTTTGCCTGATACCAATATTAGGCTGCAACAATAGAAGCCAACAGACAGCAAACTCCTGTTTTTTACAACTTCTAAGACCCAGGCAAATTGACCTTGGGACTATAGACAATATTTATCTGCAGTACACCATGAGTTCATCAAGAAGTCTAAAGTGACATAAGCTAGCTTCAAAAGTTCAACTATATGACCCTCATCTACAAATCTCAAATGATAAGTCACCACTTTACAGAAGCATGCCAAATAACATCAAGTTGCTTTGGAGAACAACCTAGCTTCTAGTGCTCGTATTCAGTACCGATGATGCCAGAAGACAACTCCAAAAAATAAAAATAGTGCCATTGGAAATTTTCGAACAAAATAAGGAACAACAAGTACCAGGAAAAGCAAGAAGCACAAAGGAAGTTATTCGTTGCAAGTGATTTACCTCCCCAGCACTGTAAATGAACCTTTGCTCGTCAAAGAAGAGCAACACCGAAGGTGAAGTATCCTGAGAGTCCATTCCCGTTCCCACGATCTGGAGTACATTGAGTTCCATCAATATCAGCAACAACTAAGGTAATAGTAAAAGTAAATACATTGAAGAATTCACTCGGATGATATTGCATTTGTATCTCACAATTCGAGGCAAGCATCCGTCAGAACCATGAAGGTTCTCCCCATATTTTGACAAGAAAATCTGTCCACCAATAGCAGTAAACAGATTGAAGAATTTACTCAAACGATGTTTGATTTTCTACAATTGAGTCCTGATCATGGTCCAACAATTGTGGCCTGAAGAGCATAAAAACTGGCCTAGGTACCTGGTAACCACAGCATATCAGTGTTACACTAGCTAATTCACGTCAAACAACCAAGCATCAAAACAACAATGGAGCTTCTCTTCCTCGCACATTCTACATAACTGAATCCCAAAATTGATATTCATGAACCACAAACAAAGTTTTGACCAAACCCTATGGTTATCCAAAACCATCACTGCCCATGAAGGCAAGCTTCCATCTTATTGACAGTCAGTAAAGTTTTCAATGGTTCAAATAAAAAATAAAATGTAAAATGCGCAGACTAAAGTCAATATTCTCGATACCTATAGTCTGTACAGAAGAGATACTGTTAGTAGGATTGAGCTTTCGGTCTTTCAAGTGAAAGATTCTTCCTCGGCGGATCAATTTCATCTCTACCCTCAGCCCTTTTCTTATTAAACCCTGAAAACTTACCACCACCACACCACCACCACCACAGCCATTCTCCCTCATTGAAGCGCCCTCCTTCCTCCTTTCAAGAGAAGGAGATGACACTGGAAGAGATGCATTGGGGCATTTGTGCTGCTGACTTCGGCGGGGAGAAGAGAGTGGGATTTTGTGAGAATCTGTAAAAACTGAAGCAAATATCGAATTAGCAAACATAAGACTTGCATTGCATGACAGTGTCCAGCCATATCTGCCGACTAGGAATGGCAATGGGGCAGGTCCGGGGCGGGTTTCTTGGTACCCAGACCCGCCCCGTGGCAGGTCGGGTCCAGGTCGGGTAATTGATCACGGGTCGCGGGTCGGGGCAGGTCGACCCAATGGGTATGCAATTTATATGAAAACATTAGAAATATTTGTTATTTCTATTATAAGACTAAGAAAACAAACAATATTGTGACAATTGTAGTTAAATTATTGGAGAAATTGAGGTTTTTACTAATTTACAACTTTATTATAGCTAAAATATGATGCAATAAAAGGAAAATTCTAAGTAATTTGACTAAGATTACATGTAATTTAGACAAGAACGGGTCGAGAATGGGGCGGGTCAGGGCAAGTCGGGTCGATGAGACTACCCATACCCGCCCCGCCCCGCCTACGGGGCGGGTCGGACCCGACCCAAAACAGGTCAAACAGGTCGGGTAAAACGGGTCAGGTCGAAATTGCCATCCCTACTGCCGACGAGTTGCTGTTGACGATGCAGAATTGCAGATGAATCAAGCCGTAAGTACGCAACGCCACTTTCCACAAGTGTAAAACATTTATAAGTATGTTTTTTTGGCACTAATAGTCAACAAGCTGGAATAGCTCAGTTGGTTAGAGCGTGTGGCTGTTAACCACAAGGTCGGAGGTTCGAACCCTCCTTCTAGCGTTTTTGTCATTTTTCCCCCCCTTCAGCCTCTTCTCCTTCCTTAATTTGGTTTTGCGAGAACTTGGCAATATGTCCAGAAATTTGAGATAAGGTGAATATAGAACACCCACCACGAAACAAAATCCTCCTGCCTGCGCTTTGCCAACAAAAATCTGAAACTCCATATAGTTAATGCCACTCTCCCCACCCACCCAAATTGAAGAAAGAAATGGGTAGTCTCCAATTCAACTCATCTTCTTCATGTTGTTGCTATGGAAACTTCGCACCATCTTCCTCTAGCAGTCTCCACCAAAACATCATTCCATTTTCCTTCTTCGTCCCCACCAAAAGATCCCTCCTTTCTTCCTCTTCCTCCAGAACTGCCACAACAAGGATAAGGGCAGTGAGCACTGTCCCAGAGAGCTCGCCGGAGCAAGCAACGCCAGCAGCCGCAGAAGCAACCGAACCGCCTTTGGTCAACCTGGCATTTGTTCATGTGAGTTGTCTGAAGTCAGTACTAACCTTTAGCTAGTTGATATAGAGAGAGTTTATGTTTGACCAAATATGATTATAGTTTTGATCTGAATGAATGAACGAATGTACAGTCGGTGTTGATGCCTGATGGCACACCAGATGTGCATATGAGGAGAGCCATTGGAGGGCAGAAGCTTAGAGACATCATGCTGGATTCTAACATTGAGCTCTATGGTCCCTATGTAGGTGTAACACCACCACAACTTCCCTTTCTTTCAGCTCCATATTTTCCCCCCATTTTCCTCAAATTTCATTCTTCATTCTGGACAGGCTAGGCCTCTGCTGAACTGTGCTGGAGGAGGAACTTGTGCAACTTGCATGGTCGAGGTACGATTTCGCATTTGACTAGTATCGAACCGGTATCACACAATTCCCCTCTGTTGAATAAATCGACCCTTGTTCTTCCAGGTTATACAGGGGAAGGAGCTCCTGAGCCCTCGCACTGATAAAGAGACTGAGAAACTCAAGAAGGTATGTGACATTTGACATTTCCCCATATACCACATTAGCAAGGACTTGTTTGGTATATGATTATAGTTTTTTCTATTTTTAACAGAAGCCTAAAAACTGGAGACTTGCCTGTCAAACCACAGTTGGGGAACCAGATTCTACTGGGCTGGTTTGTGAACTTCTCCATCCACATCTTATTAGCTGGCTACTGACATGAACATCAGTTGTTTACATATGGTTTTACTCAGTTGGCGGTGCCATTTATGGTTTGCAATTAAGCTTGACTTAGTGTGGGGATGGGACTGATTTTGGTGCAGGTTGTGATCCAGCAATTGCCAGAGTGGAAAGGCCATGAATGGGGTTATGAGAAAGTGCTGCCCCCTGAGTTCATGGTCGATGATGAATAGAGATTTCACCCCTCACCATTCTGCAAATATGTTGTCCTTCTGCAACACTTGAGAAATCACAGCATATATATATAATTCTTTACTTGAGATATTGTACATGTTATATGTAAGCTTAGTTGATCATCAACTTGGGTTGTTGAAACCAATCACGTGATGCATTTCTGTCTCACCAATTGTTACTTCAATTATTCACTACCAAGGATTACAACCGATTCTCGAGCTGCAAATGTGAATATTTACAATATAATCACGCAAGGGTTCGACAAGAGTAATAAACATCCAACGAAAGCAAGGTTGATTTCGAATATTGTAATAGTTGAATCGGAGTTGCGATTGCAAGGAGATGGGATGTGGCTTGTTTTCATATATATCATTCTCGAACTATGATTTTAAAATTTTAACCATCCTCATAACCAAAATTATACGAGAATATAATATATCATACCAAAACCAATCAATATGTTATGTGGTTCAGGGAAATCCACCCGCACCATCCTCAAATAACTATGTATAATTTTTTTTATATCATCTAAAAATTTCTTCGAATATCACTATTGAATGAAAATTTTCTGTCACGTTGTTTATAAAATTGAGAGAAAATGAACAAGATTTGAAATCTAAAAGATAATTATAATATTTTAAAGATGTGGATGAACAAAGTGTTAAAGTGAATGAGTTGATAGCATAGTTATAACACATATTCAGGTTTGACGGGTTTGGGATAACCAACCCAAAAATATTATCGATAGAATTTTCTTTGATAAAATCAATTCAGATTTGATTAAGTACCATGATGATGAGTTATTTTTACCGTTCTTAATAGGAGTTTGACAAATCTAAATGAGAATGAGAGGAAAAATCCCACTGTACACATGTTTTAAAAAAAAATTCTCAAAATACACACGTTATGAAAAAAATTCCCAATCTACGCATGTTTGGGCCTTCACCGCGTCAGACTAAGGCGGTGATTGCATCACCGCGTTAAAGAAGAGCGATGATTGCATCACCGCGTTAGAGAAAAACGGTGATTGCATCACCGCTGTAGACAAAAACGGTGATAGCTTCACCGCATTAAACGGCCGCGGTGAAGGCCTGACCTGCGTCGAATGTACGTGGGCACCGGGCCGTGCCGCCCACTGGCTAGCACGGCACGACACGGTTAGAGCACGGCATGAGCACGAGCACGAAATAAATGGGCCAGCCCGGCACGAGCACGAATAATTTATGGGCCGTGCCGGGCCTAAACTTCATGGGCACGGCACGGTATATAAGTTGGCCGTGTCGGGCCTAATATTTTCGAGACTTTATTGAGTATAAGAACGGACATGGCACGAAAATAATGTTTATTTGATAGAAAATAAGTATAAAAAGAATTATAGGTTCAAATATTACAAAACACAAGTAGAAAAATAATTATTTGTTGTTGATAGAAGTGCCATACAGATATATACGTAATTACTAACATAAGTAAAAATGGACAAAGAATTAAACAAAGCCAAATCACACTCGCTATACTTTTAATTTTCTTTTCCCCCCTATTTGTTACTTTTCTCAAACATTATCGGTTTATACTATCTTCCCCCGTCCAATTTTCACCTTCTTTTTCATTCTCTCTTTTGTTTTCGTCCTTTTCATTAAACACGAATACGAGCATGGCACGAGCACGAATAGGCACGGCACGATTCGAACCGTGTCCGGGCCTGGGCCTGGGCCTGGGCCTAGCAAAGTTGACAAATGGGCTTGCATGGCACGGCACGAAAACTGACGGGCCGTGCCAAGCACGACACGAAATAAATGGGCCCGAAGCGTGCCCGTGTCGTGCCGGCCCAAGCACGGCCCAGCGCCCATGTACAGCGTCGAATCTTTAAAAAAACGTAACTTTGTGCTCGGTTATGCGATGGTGGTGAAATTTTTTTTGATTCCGCATAATTTTTCGAGATCTTGCAAGCTCGGAATCAAAAAAAATTTCACCACGATCGGATAACCGAGTACAAAGTTACGTTTTTTTTAAGATTTGACGCAGGTCAGGCCTTCACCGCCTTTCTCTAGAGCGGTGATGCACTGGTGATGCAATCACCGCCCTCCTCTACAGCGGTGATGCAATCACCGTTTTCCTCTAACGCGGTGATGCAATCACCGCTCTTCTTTAACGCGGTGATCCAATCACCGCCTTAGTCTGACGCGGTGAAGGCCCAAACATGCGTAGATTGGGAAATATTTTCATAACGTGTGTATTTTGAAAAAAAAATTTAAAACATGTGTACGGTGGGAAATTTTCCTGAGAATGAGACAGGTGTTTTGGAGACCAGAAAATGCTCAAATTCATTCATTGTCACTAATCAACAAGTGAATAACTCAACGAGAGCCCAACACACATAGGACCCTAGTGCATTGTTGAAAATAAATACCAGAAGAAGAAGAAGAAACAAACCCTCCCCATTTGAATTAAAAAAAGAAAAAAGGTAAATAAAAAGGCATAAATAACCTCTTTAGTACCCTTCCTTTTTTTATTATCCCCAACCCCCAGCCGATCCAAAAAAAAAAAAAAACCACACCAAAGAGTTCAAATTACAAGGCCCAACTAGCCCATCTCCGAAAAGCCCAAATCAGTAGTCACTGGCCAACGGAATATGCTCAGACGACATGTAAACGTTGGGGTAGATAAGCCCAGCAAGTCCACCGCCGATGAGAGGCCCAACCCAGTAGATCCAGTTGCCGGCGAAGTTTCCACTGGCCACGGCGGGACCGAAGGACCTGGCAGGGTTCATGGATCCGCCGGAGAAAGGGCCGGCGGCCAGGATGTTCGCGCCGACGACGAACCCAATGGCGATGGGGGCGATGGTGCCCAACGAGCCCTTCTTCGGGTCGGCGGCGGTGGCGTAGACGGTGTAGACCAACCCGAAGGTGATGATGATCTCCATCACCACTCCTTGTGCTGCTCCCATCCCCGCTGCCACGCCGTGAGTTGGGATCGCCTGAAAACATTTGGGAAAGAAAAAAAAAAGGAACAGAATAGTTAAATTACACCCTTAATTATAGCTCTAAATCTTTGATTAACTCCATTAATCCTGATCAAATTGTGTTGATCTTATTAATCGAAAGTCATAGAGCTCCATTTAAGCCTAATGTAACGCGAACAAAAGCTTAAGATGCATGAAATTACAGATCTATGCCAGTAATCTGAGATTTATGTGTGGTTTATAGTAATGTTCGTAAAATCGTATCTTACTGCTAGTCCGAGCAATAAAATTTACCGCAAGCTAAATCGGCAGGCTGTTTTTAGCGGTATGAAACGCTTGAATTGCAGTTAAACCATAATTTCAGCATAAAACATGTTGTTACTGACTTATTTTAATAGACCCTCCGATACGGCTTTTCAAATCCTTACTTTAAATTTACTTTAATTTTTTTTCTTGATATATAATAATTGGTATATTCCAGGTAGAGTTTTGAATTCTTTTTTGGGACTAAATTAAGTATTAATGATGAACTGATCCAATCTCATTAAGTCAAAAGGGTTTTTTTTTTTTTTTTTTTTACCACAGAAACCAAATCCAAAACGTTTTAGTAACCAAAAATAATATGAGATTTTGGTTGAATGGCTCAAAGCTTTGCTAAGAGTTTGTGGCTGTGATTAAAAGTGGGGAGTGTAAGTTTAAAATGCTTACCAAGCCACCGGTGACGACTTTGAGGAGGTAGCAAGCAACAATGGAGCCAGCAAGCTGGGCAATCCAGTAGAAGATGCCAGTGAGGATGGTGATCTGGCCTCCCACAGCCAATCCGAAGGTGACAGCTGGGTTAACATGTCCACCTGAGATGTTGGCGCCCACCGCGACGGCGACGAACAGAGCCAGTGCGTGTCCGACCGCCACCGCCACGAGTCCAGCTGGGTCGAGTGCTGCATCCGCCGTCAGCTTATCTGTTTATCCACAACACACATATTGCACATTAATCCACCAAGTTAATTGAAATGAGGCCAAAAAATCATTATATTTTAGGCTTTTGTCATCAAAGTTCCATAGTTGTATGTACCCAAAGGGAATTGTTGCGATTCAAACACAAAATTTCTTCATTCATGAATCGTCATTACGCATTCATGATAAGAAATTAGAAAATACACGAGAGGTTGAAAAAAGTGTATTACTGAAAGCAATGGCGGATCCAACACCGGCGAAAACAAAGAGAAGGGTGGAGATGAATTCGGCAAGATAGGCCTTGATAGAGCCGAAGCTGAAGGAATCGTCGAATCTACCGAACGCAATTTTGGCCATTTTTGTGATTAATTGCGTATAGATAGAGAGAGATCTCTCTGTAGAAGGGATGATGGATGTGTGTTTGAGAAAGGAGAGTGAGAGAGGGAGGTTGGTGCAATGTGGGTTTTGGTATGTGAGCTATATATATACACACTGAATTAGGGTATTACCCATTTGGTGGTTGGGTCATGGGGTGGTATTAATTAATAAAGAATGTGGGGGAGAAGACACCTCCTAATTGAATGAAGTCATGAGTTTGTGCCTAGTTATCTTCTGTACTAGTCTAGCTACTTCTGTGCATTATGTATACAATTTTTATAGATGTTTTCTTTTGCTTGTCTAAGATGCACAAAACTTTATTTACTGATGACAATGAGTAGGGTTGGGTAACAAATAGTATGTATCAGTTACCTTTAACTATTTTGGGTTTTACAAAATATTCCTACGCACGCAAGTTTTGCATAGTAAATTAGAATTGTATGCATACTTAACTGGGTTCGATATATATACGAATATTCACGATAGTAGTCTTATTTTTATTATTTTCATTAATGTGTTACAAATTAATTAGTAATTGAGCGTATAATCATGTTGTACAAGTGAAAAAAACACAAAAATGAATCATTAATATTGAGAGAAAGAAGACATGGAACAACAACAAAAAAATGGGCTTGTTATATATGTTACAAATAACGAGCATGTTAAGAGAACGAATGTCAAGTTATAGAAGGAAAAAAAATACATCTGGCACATATGAATTGGAAAATAAGAAAATCATGCATTCTCTTTACTCACCACATTTGAGTTGAGGTTTTATCTTGACTCATTTATCAAATTTAATTAAGGTAAATTCTGGTTATATGGTAGTTCAATATTCGAGTCAAAAATACTAAATATTTGGTTATTTCAATCAATTATGATGACAATGGCATGTTATTTAAAACACATAACAAGCTGGGTATACAAGGTGATGATATCCATTATGACAATAATCATGAAACTAGGGTGGGTCCCGGCCATTTGGCCGGACGAAGATGAGGTATGAAATTTGATAATGTAATGGGGTGTATAGCTTATTGTTGTATAGTTTTTTTTTTGGGAAACACGTGATAAAAATAGTGAATTTTAGTAGAAAAGAAACATGAATGATGCAACGAATCAAAAATCAGCCTTATGAACCAAAATCAAGTACATGTTACCTTGTGAAACAATATTGTTTCTGGTAATATGATGAGGTAGAGTAAGTTTTATAGAAACCGAATTCCAGAAAATCGAATAAAAATCCCATATCCCCCCGATTTTCGGGAAATGAGCATCTCATAATCGTTGTAGCTTTTACTCGGCCCGTTGGCCGATTAATTTGCTTTATAAAACTTTCATCTTCTCATCATTGTGCTTTCTGGTTTTTTGCCAAGCCATGATAAAATCTAAAGAAATCAAGAATAAACAGCACGATTTGGGATAGGAACCACCGTTCCTGTATCCCTAGAAAATGGTGGTAAACACGGACTCACCTGCCAAACTGGTTTGGATTGAGATTTTTATAGGGTATCAGAGAACCATGTGATTATAAATTAGACTTGATCAAAATGAGCAAAAACTTGAAATTCAGCTTGTTTGACCGACCCATGCCAAACTATAATTATTCTTTACTTTTAAACTTTATATTTGAAAATAAAAAATAATGAAAGAAAAGAGATGACTGCAATTCACCATTTGCACATCACTGATTCGGGAATAAAACTATAGAATTTCGAAAGGAAACTAAAAATGTTTAGGATCGTTTTAATGTTATAAATAACCAAATAGATCTTTCTGTTTAGTTTTTTACTAACAAATACCAAACGATTCCCTATAATATACACTATAATTTAATCATTATGATATCAAATAATTAGATAATATATATTTGAAATGATAAAAATTGGACTAATTGAGTTGGTCGAAGTTGAACCATTGAATAACTTTAAAATACATTATATTTTAGCCACTAAGATATAAAATAATAGCATAGTATATATTATGCTAGAGAAAATATCTTGTTTTAGAATGGCAAACCCATGATGTTCATTTGTTTTACTTGATGGGCAAATCTCATGTAGGTCAGACACGTTCAACTCTTTTATTTTATGATTAGCGGTTAGCCCATTAGAATCCATGCATTAGTTTATTGTTAATTTTTTTCTTTTTAGCAATAAAAAGGAGTATTGTTTTTGCCTTTTCATATATATATTTTACCACCATGGAGAAATAAAAGGACTTAAAGAAAAAAATTGACACTCCTGGACCCGTTTAAATCCGCATGTGTACGGTAAGTTGGTCCGGGACACAGAGGAAAAAGAAAAAAATTGACACTCCCTATTCTACTCTTCCTACAAACGCTCCTGGAGCATGGAATTTTAAATGGGGGAAGAGTTTTTTCCTCTCTGCAATTATATGTTTTTAATTTAAAAAGATAAAACAAATGTACTTAGTGTGATTGGTTATGATCTTTGTTTTTCTTTAAAATGGTCATGGTTCGAATCCTAGTAAGTGTCTTTTTAATGAATAAAAAAAAGTAATTGTGAAGACCAAAATGTCCTTCCTACTTTCACTCTGGATGCAGGAAATTTGAAATGGGGCTTCAAGTTTTCTCATTTGGCTTTTATTTATTGTGTAGATTTGAGTTTTAATTGTTATATATTTATAGTACGTTGGCTTTTATATTATGTTGGCTTTGAGAAGTATGATAAAAGTTCAATGCGAAGAAGGCAGGTACATAATAAGTATAGTATAATTTTGTTGTTAAAGAATATTAAAAAAAAGAAGATCTTCCCAAAACATAATTTCAACCACTCCTATCATTGAGATGATTCCTTCCATTTCCCAAATAATAAGAAGTAAGAAAATAAATTAACAGAGGAGAGAAAAGGACTGATTATGGATGGGTTGTCACATCTCGTGACCGGCCATCACCATAAGTGCAATTAACACACACACACGACACAACTAATTGTTTCTTTTCCCTTCCTATATGCACAAGTTATCTCGTCGTGAATGTAACAACCGTGAATGTAATACCACATCAAATATAATTATTCGTCTTATCATCAGTATAATTGTGTATACGATTTCGCCCGCAGTTAATCACTTAGGGAAGAAATTGAATCGAAATGAATCTTAATTAAAACCATATTTGAAGGGTTGATATGATAAATGGTGTGGTGATTAGAAAGGGAAAGGAGTGAGACATGATAAGTGAAGGGGTGGGACAAAGTGAATCCATGCATATCCAATCCAATGGGAGTTCCGCTTCTTCTTTATTTGCAATTCCAGGCTGTGGCGACCACGACCTTTGGTAGAAGTGTCTGGAGGTGGAATATTATTTGGATCCATATATGTTTTCTCCATGTGAGTGAGAGGGAAGAGAGAAGCTGGAGATTGAGACGATGGGCAAGTTTTGGGCCACAAAACGCACCGACCATCGTCCCCACATCACCGTCAAATTGTTTTTTATCAAAAGGACGGGGGACTCCGATTGTGAAATGAAATGATCCCTATGATGCAATGGATAGAGGGAATCGGGTAACGTTTTCCCCCTGGTCCTCATGTTTCCCTTTCCTTTTTTTTTTCTTTTCTATCTCTTTTGTTAAGCTAGCTAAGTTGGCAATGGTCACGGGGTGACATTGAGTCCAGAAACATGTATATCTATATTCATGATGCGAGATGAGATAAGCCATCGTCACATTTTGATAAAATATATGGACTTGTATATTGTTTAATGTATTTTATTATTTATTATGCGTTCCATATTATTTCAGGGTGTTTTGCTATAATTATTAGTTATTATAAGTGTTATATGTTTGGCCTGACTTTTGAAAGTGCTTTTATATTTTAAAGACTTAAACCTTGCCAAATACCTCTATAAGCTCGGCTTTTGAAAACCTGAAAGTGTTTTTTTATTTTTTTAAATAGAAGCAAAAGCTTCAATTTGGGATTACAAAAAACTGTTTTGAAAGTACAAGATTATCCTTTAGAAAATATTTTTTTTTTAAGAAAACATACATTATTTTATCTATATAATTTTAAAAATAAATTAAATTGTAAAATAATATTAATTAATATAAGACAAATCTAACAATATCCGTTTTAATAACTTTTATTTTTTAATTTTTACTCATAATTTGTATTAGAAGTCCTTTTTACGTGATCTCTTATATTAAAAAAGTACTTCTATGAGTTTTTCAACCAAACATTCAATTGTTTTTTAAAAGCAAGTTGCCTTTCAAAAAAGTACAGGATTATGAAATATGTTAGTTATTGTTTAGTGTTCAATTAATGTTATTGTAAAAATTCAAGTATGAGTAGGAGAGAAGCTAAAGCACAGGTCGAGAAGGAAAATGATTTGGTTTTGTAACTCGTTAAATATGTGATTCGTTTATTAGTAATGAAATGATAATTTCGGAACACAATTTATGTTTCTTTCTTTGCTATTCAATTAGCAATTTTGGAGTATTTTGGGTAGTTTTTTACGTTAAGAATATCATCTACTTGAGAATTTTGGAGACTAAAGATCCAGTTCCGTGACAGTTCATTTTTATGGAAATGTACTAGATAAGTATAGAGTTTTCATATAAGCTTACGCGAGTTCGATCGAGATTATATAGCATATCGTGAATTTTAGGGGTTTTCGTTAAAAATGAGTGTACATAATATAGTCCTCAGAGCAGATGCGTATGACTGTTAATCAAATATCAATCAGTGTATACAAATCCAATAAGTTTAGTTTGGGTTTGGATTGACCCTTAACTTTCTCTCGCATAAATGTTGCAAGTAGTGGGAGACCGTGGAGAAGAACATCAATTCATCAGTTGCCGAAAGTTTTTGGCAGCTGGTAGAAAGAGGATACCGTTTTGTTTGAAAAGATGCTACATTTGACGTCCCCCTCCCTACTCTCAGCTTAACAGTAACCCACTTTCCTCTTTTAGGGTAATTGATTCTGGCTTCCACTACTAAACAATGATTGCGATCCCCATCAATATAAAAAAACAAAGAGGGCTCATTTGTGATCAAAACATGTTCAATTGATATTATTATGAACCCTAGAAACAGTGTGGCCATCCACCACATGGCATGTCCTTAATTTCCTCTTACATATTCTAACTAACACTAACACTAACACTAAGCCAGCCAGAGCCAGACGACGAACCAACCCCACTCACCATCCACCCACTCCCCCGCCTTATCCATTAGCCATTCCTTCTTCCC